TGCCGCCGCCGTGGACGCGCTCGCGCTCTGGTACCGCAGCGCTCTGCCTCGCTACCTGAACGAGTACCGGCCGAAAGACATGTTTAACATCAAGGAGACCGGGCTGCTCTACCAGATGCTGCCCCATAGCACGTTCTCCTTCAGAGGGGAAGCCTGCTCTGTCGGCGAGCTCAGCCGAGAGAGGGTAACCGTTGTGGTGGGCACGAACGCAGACGGCTCCGAGAAGCTTCCTCTGCTTGTTATTGGGAAGAGCAGATGAACGAGTACCGGCCGAAAGACATGTTTAACATCAAGGAGACCGGGCTGCTCTACCAGATGCTGCCCCATAGCACGTTCTCCTTCAGAGGGGAAGCCTGCTCTGTCGGCGAGCTCAGCCGAGAGAGGGTAACCGTTGTGGTGGGCACGAACGCAGACGGCTCCGAGAAGCTTCCTCTGCTTGTTATTGGGAAGAGCAGAAGCCCGCGCTGCTTCAGAGGTGCAAAGTCACTCCCGGTGGATTATGAAGCGAATGAGATGGCCTGGATGACCACAGAGGTGTTTGAGCAGTGGGTGCATAAACTCGATGAGCGATTTCAAGCACAGCAGCGGCGAGTTGTCATTTTTGTGGATCCGCTGCCGGCTCACTCAGAGGTGAAGGGCCTGAAGGCTGTTGAGCTGGTGCTGTTGCCTCCAGACGCTTCCTCCTGTATCGCTATGCAGCACGGGGTCATCAGAAGCCTGAAAGTTAAATACAGGCACTGCCTGATCAAGAGATTCATTGACTGCGTGGTAAGCAATAAAGAGTTTGTGTTAACTCTTCTTGATGCAGTTGAGATGTTGCAGCTGTGCTGGAGAAAAATCGCTCCAGAGACTATAATTAAAAGTTATAAGGAAGCAGGATTCCAGCTAGAAACAGAGGAAAGTGGTAAGAAAGACATGGAGGTTGAAAGTGACTGTGATGTGATTGCACATGCGCTGGCAGCAGGAGTGGAGTTCCCGGAGGGTTTATCCTTGGAGGAATATGCAACTTTAGATGATGGTCTGGCAACCTGTGACATGTCCACAAGTTATGAAAGGGTGTTTCGAAGTGTCAAAGACAGCACTTCAGGTAAAGCTGGGACATTTGGTGATGATGAAGGTGATTATGAAGGATCTCTGGCAGCCGAGCAACCTTTGCCATCAAAAGAAGAGGCTCTGAGTGCTTTAGATACCCTCCGAAGGTTTCTCAGGAGTCAAAACATGAATGATTCTCTTTGTGATTCCGTAGCCCTCCTGGAGGATTTTATTCAACACGTAGCATGTAAATAAATGCGGTTAACAAAACATGTATTTGGAAACAGGAATTTAACTTCAGCAAACACAAATATGGCACCTTATATCAGGTGTTGCTGCAAAGTTCTCTAGTATGTCTTACTCATTTGCCAAGCTGTACTTAATAAATGACATTTGAAATTACCCAAAAAGGGCTGTGAACTGTAGCTAGTAATAAAACAAAGTGCTTAAGCCTATCTTCATACGTGTGCAGTGCCATAGAGCATGGAGACTTTCTGTAGGATTCTGCACACCAATGCAGTTCACTATTATAGGCACCATTAACAGGGGGGTTGTTTGTATTAATGCAGTTGGAATGAAGTGAATCACAGTACAAGTCTTCAAGTATGTGTTTCAATCCATGAATGACACCATAGCGAAAAATCTGAATACATATGAAAATCTGAATACATACATATGTTCAGGATTTTTTTTCCAAAACCTTATACATTTTAGCCTTTCTTATATTTTTTTCATTATCTATCAATTTTAGCTTTTCAGAAGTTAGAGATGTTCATTTTTCTAATTTAGAGGAAGAATAGAAGCCTATGGAAGCCTTTTAGGAAATCTATATAACAAAAGTGCCCATTATGGAGCTAAGCCATGAGAAACGAGCTCTTGATTATTTGAATGTTTAGTTTTCAAGAAAATGGCCTGGCTAAAGCTTGGTTAGCTTTCCTGATGGAGAGTAGTTTATCAACGTGCCTTTTGGAACACATTGTATCAAAATATTACAAGAAAAGGAAAATACAAGCTTTTTATGTGAGAAAATTCTTATGGCTAATGGGTAGGCAAGTTCTAGCAGAATCTCTAAAAAACTTATCTTGTGCTTTCCTGTTACAAAATATCTAATGTGAATTCCACCCAAAACATATTCTGAAGAGATGCTTCTGTCTGATGCTTACATAGATGCTTCTACGTGAACAGAGCACAGAGATTCATAGAGTCTGTGAAAGAGGTATTCTCCATTATCTCACTATTTTGTTAAAATACAAATATGAACTTTTGTAAATTCAGAAGTTCTGATGGAAACAATCACTAAATGTCACTTTAGATTGAGTTTTGATTTTTTTTCCTTCTTTATTTTTGGGGTGGGGTGGAGTGAGGTGGGAGGGTTTAAGGTTATTTTAAGTTGTATAAATCCCATGGAACCATGTGGATATTTTTATTCCACTAATCTTATGATTCAAAGCCCATGTTTTTCTACTCAGCAGTTTCTCTTGCTAAAGCTGAATTTAGGGAAAAGTAAAGTTCCTATTTTCCATATAGTAAATTCCTGTATTCTCTAAGATTGAACTTGACCAGCCTGTGATCCCAAGGAGGAGACGCTGTTTTTCCTTCTAAGAGATTTCAGAGAGTGAAGTGCTGATCAGATGAGAAAGGCTTGTTTAAGTGAGCAGCAAACCTTGATTAAACAGGAGTTTAATCTCCAAGATCTGTAGTCTGTGCATGGTGCAGCTTCCCAGACCAGGAGATCTGACATAACCTACTTAGCTGATGACTAAGGGATTTAATTCTTGGATATTTAGTGAGTGATGTAATACTCTCTTGTGGAAATAATAGGAAGAATATACTAACTGCGTCCAGATTTTCAAGGTGAATCGTGGAACTTACTTTATAAAACAAACACACAAGTTGGCAAGATGACTTATATTTTACAGAATACAAGACTTTTTTTTTCCTAGCCTTCAATTTCATTCTGAGAAGATCCGTTAAAATGCCCTCACTAAAACAATTTTTAGGCCATCCACTTTATATTCTAACATTATAACATTCAAAATTATTTAGGAACCCAAATAGTTCTTCTTACTTGGATTTAGTTCACATTTATTGTTAAATGCAGAATTTGAGAGCCATCTTTGAAGACTGATGCTACTTCAGATGTCTGTCCATAGGCAAAATGAAGACTCCTTACATCCTAAGTGCTAACACTGAAAAAGAATGTGTTAATGTTAACAATTTAATCTGAGCTATTTTATTCATATACACTGTTTCGGTAGACCTTCAAGACATTAGTTCTTCTCGTCTGTGGTGACATCTACTAGGGAGAGAGGAGGAGGAACACGGCTTTAGGCCACATATATTTAAAACAAGATTCTTTTCTACAAAAGGCAGATTAATAGGGTGGTGGCTTTCTTTAATGCTTCAGGTGTTATTTTGGACAACTGTGATTATTTTTCTTCCACACTTTCTGACTTCCTGCTACACTTAGATAGAAATTATATACTTTAGCTTCCAGTCAAGGAGGTCACTTTTTGCACCTCAATGTTATTGGTGGAATTATGAACAAAAATATGAGGCCATGTAAACAAGATTAAGCCCTCCAAACAAGGCCAAAAGGGTGAAAAATAAAAGTGTTCTTGATACAATGAGAACAACCTCAAAGAGTGGTTCTTGAAACCAGTAACATGTAAAATTAAGTATTCATTTCAAAATAATGTTTGCATTTGAAAATGTTAATAAAAATTACATTATTTGTTATTTTATTTTTGTGTTGCAGTTGTATATGGCTCTGGATACCTTTCTGATCTATCAAACTGCATTTACATTTAAAAAAGAAGTTTGTTCACCTCAAGGGGTCATAGGGAATTACTTTATGAAGTTTTTGTGAGTTTAAACAAAAACAGAAGAAAGGGGGCAGTAAATGATTTATAAGAGCAATCCACATGCTCCTGCATACTCAAATCTGGACATTTTCATGGCTAAGTAATTTGGAGGAAATAAATAAGTAGGCATTTTTTCATTATTTGTTGGGTGAATCTTGAGAATAGTATTCTCAAATGTGCACATTTTTTAGTTTCAGTTTTAAAGAGCTGCACTACTCTTTCAGTTATATACTTCCAGTAGAAAATATCAGTTGTATATAAGTATTAATTTTACTTATTTTCAGATACTGTTCATTTATTCACTCTACAACTCTGGGAAGTATGTTGGTTCAGGTAGCCAACCAATTTTTTAATGAACAGTTAGTACAAATTTATTCATTTTTTCTATAAGGTTTTTATAAACCTGATTTAAATAGTGACATTAAAATATTACTAAAACACCTTTGAGTTTTTTTTTTATGGTTGCATTCATTGAAATGGTAGAAGTAAATACTGGTCTACTCAACAATTAAATAAAAACTGTGTGATGATGGAGCAACCATGACATACAGTTATGGTTTGACATTATTTTCTTCTATTAATATAAAAAAATTCTGTTACCTGTTATATTCTTTATGGGAAGCAATTGTTAAAGGAGCATGCCAGATTTTTTTTTTTGTTAAGAACACAGTAATGGTATTGCATCAATACGCTTACTGATTATTTTATTAGGCTTGCTTGGGATTTTCTTTCTTGATAATCTGAATCAAATCCAGAGATTCTATGTCAGTTCATAGGCAAACAAATCTGTTGTAACTGGAAGTTTTGCAACATGATGAGTGACACTTTACTTTTTGTTGATAATTTCACCAGCAATAGAAAAATCATTGCAACAAATGAAAGACAACTATTTAATATTTGACAGTCTGGTTTTACCCCCAGCTTTTGTATTGCTAGAGCTGGGTTGTGCAGAGATGTGATTACTCTTACGGATATAACTACACTGTGAAATAACCACATCATTTTTATATTAGATTAATATATCTAATATAAAATATAAAACATTTTAAAATCTAAAATCTAATATAAAATATTAGATCAATAAATCTAACACAGCTCATTGCTGTTTTGCTGGCACAGCTACTCCATTTGAAATGTATGTTCTCTCCTACAACATTGTTAACAAAATGTGCCATTCTAGTTAAGGCAGAGTTTTAAGCAAGTAGGGTGCAGTTGAACTTTTCAGAACTTTGTGACCATGGTTCTCTGAGTGTAGTGGAGAAGTACAAGTTATAAATTTCTGTGATCAGCAGAGTGAGCAAATACCACACTGAATTCTCAGATCTGTTGTGTGGGGAGAAGGGTATTTACAACCATACAAAACCCCAGTAACACCTTACAGTGTTACTGTAAGCTGTAGGCTGCGTCTTCCTAAGCTTTCATACCATCCTTCATCCTGATCAGCTTTTCAGCCCGTGTTTGAATAATCCCGAGGGAAGAAAAACCCCCTATACATCACTATATATCCATGCAAATTGCCATCCTGTGCACAAACCACCCCCTGCACGGCCAGGGTGGTAATCTGCAGCCCTGCTTTGCGTCCTCTGCTTCTTACAGAGCTTGCCTTGCTCTGCAAGCCTGCCTGAGCAAGCAGTTAGAACTGTGAAGGCAGGAAATCAACCTGCTGTCATCTTTCTGAGAAAACACTAGCAATGTTAAGGTCTTCAGAACAATCTTTTGACAAGCACCTTTTCTCCCTAGTCTCCCTATTTCTAGTATTATGTTTTGCAGGTGATATTTTTGAACCATCTCATGTGTCAGCCAGTATCTCAGCCTTGGTACACATGCACACGATCTCAGGTCCTAATTTCTGCATTGCTGAAGTTGGTGGCCTTCCCAAATCCTTGCCTCATTTAGCCCAGAACATTTAGCATGTCCATATTTATTTTTGTCTCTTCATTCAGTGTATTTTTCAAATCTAGTATTTCCATTGCATTCTGCTAAATGCATTTGAAACAGGTCTAAACTAATCCTGTCAGCAACCTTGTGATTTAGATTAGTTTTATCTTCATTTTATAGATGAAGAAATGAAGGCCTGGAGAGCTGCGATTTTTCCAGTGGTTGTCCAGGATGCCTAGGAGAATTGCTAATAAAACACATAATCTTCCTTCCTTCCTTCCTTCCTTCCTTCCTTCCTT